AGCTATGTGCTGTACACATGGCACAGACTTGGAAGAGCCATATTGGATCATAAAACAGAACCACATTTTGAAGATAGTGAAGCAATACAGAGTGAGCTGCTACACCAGCCTGGGGAGTCCCTGTTCAAGTGAGAAAGAGAAACTTCTACCTTAGGTAGGTCGTTGTTATTTTGTATAAACCACTATCGCTCTCAGCTAAAGTTAAATCAGTTAGCTGGCATAATGAAAGGCAAAATATTAACAGTGACTTTTAAAAAAAAAAAATTAAAATAAAACAATAGGATACCAAATATTAACAGTGACTTTTTAAAAAAAAATTAAAATAAAACAATAGGATACCCCAAATTTTCTTACCAGGGAAGTTCTGTCAATCCTCCTTGTATAGCAATAGCAGACTTAACCCTATTAGCAAACTGGACTGCATCTTCTCCTTCCTGGTAAAAGAAAAGTTTTAAACACATCTTTGGGTACAGCAATTTTAAATAATATTTTTACATGTTTCATGATCACTTACACTTGTTTTAAAACATAAGACCCACATTTTAACTCAAATATTTTATTCACAACCAGTAACAGCAAATATCATTGTCCCATCAAGAAAATGCAGTACTGTATTATTTCATTTTTCATCCTATGCATATATTTACTGTTATTTATCAGTCTTTCCCAAGATACAATATTCTATAATATCTGTTGACTCAATAAACCAACGGCAATTATAAAACCATTATGGAAAAAAGTCTGACTATAAAAGAGAGCTAAATGTATTCTTTGAAAAAATTACTCATGGGGGGGACCAGCAGTTCGCGTAATGGCTATGTCACTGACTTAAACTCACGCCGGGCGCATGTGCGTGCATGTCCAAGATCCCAAGAGGAGAATGGAGAAGGGATTGTGGTGTGGCCATCCCCCCTGGGGGATGATTTCTCGCTTTCTGTCTCTTTGTCTCTCTCTGTCTTTCTGGCGAGTGCACGCACCCTATAGCAAAAACCTCGCCAAAAAAAAAAAAAAAGACTCATGAGAACAGCAAATGGACTAGTCGCTGGATTCCCACATGGCCTACTGTGGTTTGAGTCTTGAATGCAGTGGCTTTAAAATCACACCAGGCACGTGTGCATGCATGCCCAAGATCTCAGAAGGAGAATGGAAGAAAAGTGATTGAGGTATGGTCATCTTCCCTATGGAGTGATTTCTCACTTTCTTTCTCACTGTCTCTGTCTCTGTCTCTGTCTCTCTCTCCCTTCACAGTCAGCGTGCATGCTCTATGGCGAAAACCTCTAAAAAAATATGACTCATTTGCTGAGAAAGCAGACAGGCATGATGTAAAGGAGACACCCAGGTTACTAGGGTAAAGTTTGGCTTTATCTGATTAGATAAAGTGACAAAGGCCAGTTGTTATCTAAGGAATACCTCTCTGGTCATGGGAGGCATGTACCACACATCACAGACGATGGCCCAGCTGGTCATCATTCGAAGCAGGTAGCTCACCATGTTGTATTTGCTACTGTTCCAAAAGGCATCACCAAACTGAGGGTTGTACTGAGAACAGAAAAAGAGAAAAGACACCCTAGTTATGAACTGAGTGGCAGCTTCTCTTTTCCATGTCAATGTCTTCAAGGCAGCAGGCCAGATAGCTCCATCAGACCCCAAGACAAATGCAAGTCACTTTACTTGATAGAATAGATCAAAAAAGTATAGGCCAGCCTCACAGCATAGCAGTTAAGCTCTGTGTAGTGAAAGCTGGATACCACATGGCTGACTGGGGCTTGAATCCTGGCTCCAGAGGCAACATGCTGGACACCTGAACATGTCAAGGATCCTGATGGGAAAAAGAACTGAGGCATGACCAGGTCCTTCTGGAAGGTGCTCGCTCTCGCTCTCTCGCTCTCTCGCTCTCTCACTCACTCTCCCTCCCTCCCTCCCTCCCTCCCTTTTTCTCTCTTTCTCTCATGCACACACAAACACTCAGTCATGAATACAAAAGGAGAAAATGGTGATCCTGCCAGCTCCTCTGACCAGAGCCCACTGCTCTTCTAACTAGAGCTGCAAGGAGAGCACTGTCCACATCCCTCCTGAATGTCAGTCTCCACCTTCGACTGGAAGGTTAAGGAGGGGGGACTGGCTCTGTTTTGCTCATCATCACCTCCTCAGTACACACAGCACACATACACAGAGAGGGTGGGAAAGCAGACGGGCAAAAGGCAGAGAGCTGGCGAGTAAGAATGAAGAGTAAGCAAATATTCCTCATCCTTAAAATTTTTAGGTTTGAAATTCTATCAAAAATACAGTGACTGATTCCATGCCTATTTGGGAGCAGGATCTGTTTTACCTTGATTGCAACCGGATGTATGGTGCCTCCAATCTCGAAGCTTCCCTTTTTAAACATCATGACTGACGTGTTATTGATGCAGGTTCCTGCAGGAGGGTAGGAGCAGGGGAGTGAATACTTTTAATGGTGGCCATTTTTAAAGCAAATTTTAAAAGGAATTATCCTGATATGAAATCATTTAAAATATCAAAATGATGGATATTTACTACGATTTTACAAATAAACTACTGATTAAACCATAATTTAAGAGTTCAACGCAGATCTAAAAACAAATCTTTACCACTCATTATTCTATGGTTACAATGTCTTCACAACAAGTGACAATTTCAATACATTTAAAAATATGACCCCTAAAAAGTCATGGACAGGGACCAGCATGTGCATACATGTCCAAAATCCCAAAAGGTGAGGGGAAGAGAAGGGATTATGGCATGGCCATCCCCTCTGGGGGGTGATTTCTCAATCTGTTTCTCTGTCTCTCTGGTGAGCACACATGCCCTATAGCAAAAAATCTCTCTAAAAAAACAGTCATGGACAATAACTTTCTGAGTTCATTACCCAAGTATTACCCAAATATTACTCAAGATTCCACGATTTCCAACCAATCTCAAAAGAAACCAGAAAATTCCCAGTTCAAAGGCTATCTCATTCCTATAGGACAGCAAAGATGTGAACTAGTGATGTTAATTCTAGAACAATTCTATTTTATATAGAATGTGGGTAGCTTCTTGTTATCAACTATGGCTTGTAAGGCAAACCTTGCTCTTACCTTCAGGAAAGATTAATATGGGCAATTTTTTCTTATCAGCAATATGCTCTTTTAGTCTGTGAAGAAAAACACAGGATCAAAATTTTACCTTCACAGGCCAGCAGATGCCGTAGCGATTACTTGGCTCGACTTCCACATGGCTGACCACGGTTTGAGTCCCGACCTGGTGGCTTCTAACTCACACCAGGTACATGTGCATGCATGCCCAAGATCCTCAGAGAAAAATGGAATGACATGGCCACCCTCCCTTCTCCCTCCCTGGAGGGTGATTTCTAGCTTTCTGTCTCTCTGGTGAGTGCACGAGCCCTATAGCAAAAATATCTCTCTCTTAAAAATAAATAAATAAATAAATAAATAAATAAATAAATAAATAAATAAATAATGTTACCTTTAAAAAAAGAAGGGGCCATGGGGTGGCATAGTGATAACGCAACTGAGCCCACATGAGAAAGGTCCTGGGTTCATGTCCCAGGACCTCCCTGTCCATGCTGAATATGCACATCCCTATGATCCAGGGTAGCTGAGACTGAGAGTGGGTCTCAGCACGAAGTCCCTTCTGGAGCTGCCTGTCTGTCTGTCTGCCTTTCTCTTCTTCTCTCATGCAAGAAATAAATAAACTTTAAAAAAAAAATCTTCCCGCTTACCTCTTAGTAACCAGGTGTCGGTCCCTCATTTCTGAGCGTTCAAACCAGACATGTGGACAAGCCTTGACCATGGCTCTCTGAATAATTCCCATCAATCCACCATGGACCTGGCCAACCTAGAAGTATCATGAGAAAAAGAGAAAAATGTAAAGGGCCCAGTTGTCCAAAAAAATCTTTAAAATAATAATAATAATTAAGCAATAAATCCTGTTCCCCACTCAGAGATAAGGCTAGCCTTCTACAGATGAAAGTTCTTCTTGGTCTCATCAAAGAAATTCAAAGGCCAAAAGTAAGCAAAAAGTATTCGTTGGTATGAGAGGACTTTGAAAAGTCATGGAAACAAGTTTATTTTGGTGCAAAACAATTTGAAATCAATGCATTGTTTTTTCACAATATACGTTTCCATGAATTTTTGTTTTGTTTTGTTTTGTTTTGTTTTGTTTTGTTCATTTATGATAGATCTTATGCAAACACACATGGGACTGACCAAGAGGGGGAAGTGGAGGGGGGGTCTAGTCACACTGTGACCCTCTTCCTCCAATCCTCCAGCCCATTGGACACTCGTGTGCATCTTTGGCATGCTCTAGACTGACATGGCCAGGGATTCAAACCACAGTCACCCTGCGGGATCCGGCTTTTCTAGAGTGGTACATTACCACTGCACCACAGAGCCTGCCGTCATGAACGCTCTGAAGAGTCTTCATTGCACTTTTGAATTTGAAGTTGTGTTACTAAGCTAGCTATCCTCTAACTTTATAAAGTAAGGTCCTTCGAGTCAGTCTAGATCAGAGAAATGCATATTAAAACTGTACTGAGGGAACCAGCAGTTAGCGTAATGGCTGTGTCGCTGGACTCCCATGTAGTCAACCGCAGTTCGTGTCCCGGACCCGGTGGCTTAAAACTCACGCCGGGCGCGTGTGCGTGCGTGCCCAAGATCCCGAGAGGAGAATGGAGGAGAAGGGATTGCGGCGTGACCATCCCCCCTGGGGGGTGATTTCTCGCTTTCTGTCTCTATGTCTCTCTCTGTCTGTCTGGCGAGCGCACGCGCCCTACAGTGAAAATCTCTCAAAAAAAAAAAAAAATAACTGCACTGAGATACCATTTCATACCCATCAGATAGACAAAAACGCAAAGGCTTAACAATACATTCTGAGCACAAGGCTATGGGAAACAGTCTTTATGTGGCTTGGGGAAAAGGGAGGGTTACACCAATGGAAAGATTTCGGCAACATCTATCAAAATTACATATGCAATTAACTTTTACTTCAGTAATTCCTCTTCTAGGAATTTACCCTGAAAATACATTTGAAACAAAATGAAAATACATATGCACAAACTTATTAATTACATTATTAATTACTTATTCATTACTCATTATTGCAAAATATCAGAAACCTCCTAAAGATCCTCCTATATCCAAATATAGGAAATTCAATGAGTAACCAATGGTACATATTTTCTCTTTTCTTTCACTATTTGCATATATATTCTTTACGAAAATATATTATATAACTTATTTAGCTGCGATAGTATAACCCAGTCAAATTTCTAACATGAAACTACCTTTCTAATTTGTGCCAAGATAAATTAAAAGTGTGAGCAAAATATACTACTTGAAATCAGTAAGCCGTACTTACCATAGCATAGCATCCATCTGTTGCCAAGATCAGGACATCTATTGGGGAGGTGTGATTGGCAACACAGATGCCACCCTTCTGGGGTCTGTACTGTCTGCAATGACAAACAACAGTGAATATTAAACTTTGAAAAATGGCATTAATATATACATATACATTGGGGGGGGGGGGTAACACACATTTTTTTTTTTTTAAATAAAATTTGGCAGTACATGGACCCAACTTTAAAAGGTTATTTCTAAAGGGCTCATAGATGGCATGGTGGTTAAGGCACTAGACTCCCAGATGGGTGACTAAGGTTCAAATCCCAACCTGACAACTCGCTTTTTCATTTTTCCAATCTCTCTCTCTGCCTCTCTCTGATGAACACACATGCCCTATAGCAAATTAAAATAATAATAATTATAATAAATTAAATTTTTTAAAAAGGTTAGTTCTAGGTAGTATGATAACAGTGGGATAAGGGGCCTATGATTTTCTCTTTGTAATTGGTAAGTTTTGCCTATTTAATCTTAAATATTTTCATGAAGTATTCTCATATAATTTCAGTTTTTGTATCACTTTTAGAGGCTTCCTGATGATACACAGAGTAAATTTACCATAGTCTGTTCCCTCCTGTCCCCCTAGAGCAAGGTCTATCAAGGACTTCCCAGTAAGTAGGTGAGCCTTTGCAGGCCAGATAATCCCGGTCACGACGATTCAACTCTGCTGTGGTGGCACAAGGGAGCCACAGGCAACATATGAATGAACAAGCCTGATGGTGTTCCCATAAAATGTTACAAATTTAGGGCCTCCCTGTGTCTGTAGTTAAGGTGGCTAGATCTCACATGGCTGACCATGCCATTTGCGTCCTGGACTCGGCAGCTTGAGAAACACATTGGGCATATGTGTGTACATGCCCAAAGTCCCGAAAGGAGCAGGAACTGGAGAAGGGACTGTAGCGTGACCATCTCCCATGGGGCACACTTCCTCATTTTCCCTGTCCTTCTGCCTCTCTCTAGTAAGAGCATGTGCCCTCTGGCAAATAAAATAAATAAATGAATAAGAATAAATTTACAAATTTTACAGATTTGATCTATAGTCACATAGTTTAGCTTACCCATCTCTGCCATAGAGTTAAACTAGTCTTTGACACGAACAAAGTATCAAAGTAGTTTTGTGGGAGCTTACACAGAGAGGAAAGGAGATAAAATACATAATGACTTTGGCATATTCCCCCTAAAATTAGAAGCAATTCTATAACAAACTTATGCACTCCTCTCTATGACATTAAGGCACTTTTTTTATGATTAGTGTCTCCTCTGATCATACTCCTGCCAGATTATCTTCTCCTACTCCTCACCTCAAAATTCTCCATCCAATTATAAAATCATATCATTTACATTTTTAAAGGGCTTTTTATGTTAATAACACCTGGTAAAGCCAAATGATCAAATGTGTCCTTTTCTATAGAAGAGACAGAAAGACTCCATCAATGAAAAGGAGAGTTGTATACTAGAACTTTTATAACAATGATTAAATTTAAATTTAAAAAAAAATTGAGTTAACAGAAAAGTTCATTCAAAAGCAATCCAATTCACTTTCACTTAGTTAATAACGTTCCTTAGCTACCTTTATTCTCTATGACTGAGAACGAGGACAACAGATTATAGTATTTTGTTTAAGGCTCATTATAGAATCGTAGAAGCAGAAGACTGAGACTCGAAACCAGGTCTCCAGACTCCAAGCCTAACCTTCATGCTATGGGTCTGCAAACACATTCATTTTTTAAATCCAACAGATTCAGCTCAAAACTTGACATTGCCCACTTCCTCACTATGTCACCCTAAACAACCAATCTCAGGGCTCCTATTTCTTCATGTGTAAAATGGGGTAACAGCTCCTATTTAAGAGGGGTGACCTAAGTAAAGCACAGGGCCTGGCCTGCAACCATAAATGCCCCATTACTAAGCACTACTATAATATTGCTATTTTGGTCCTCTACAAACAGGTTTCTTCCTTTCTTCCTTTCAGTTTTTGCTAGAAGGCACCTGTGCTTGCCAAACAGAGACACAGAGAGACAGGGAAAGTGAGAAAGCACCTTCCATGGGGGATGGTTGATCACACTGCAATCCCTTCCCCTCCCTTCTCCTCTTCTTTCAGAAATTGGGCACATAGGCACGTATGCCTGGCATGGTTTTTAAACTTCCTGGTCTGGGACTTGAACTGCACAATCAGCCATGTAGGATCTAGCCACCATACCACCCACTGGCTCCTAGACCACTTTCTATGAAGTGTCTTTGATGCATTGCTCTGTGGGTGACAGTTGAAGTACTCTGACTCCACCTGCTCCCCCACTCGCTGTCAGTGCCTGTCTCAAGCCATGCTGGGTTTCCCCAGGATAAAGCAGGAGGACGCGGCAGACACTCACTTGTTGTGATAATGAATGGTGCCAGAGAGGGCTCGCACACAGATCCGGCAGCAGGTGAGATGGACCAGCTCACTCAGCCAGTTTTTGAGGCTGAAGGAAAAAGAAAACACTTTATTGTATAGTTCTGGGCGCTCCAGAGAAACACTAAAATAAGTTTTAATGTGTTCTTTCACATTAGCATACTGTGTTCTAGTCCACTGAACAAGAGCAATTCAATTCTGATAGTCGCACGGATGCATTTAGTGTTAATGACGAAAGTCTAAGAGAGAACTAGACAAGATGCTAATGGAAAGTAGCGCCCACCCTACGAGCGCCCACCCTACTTGACAGATTCCTGGCCAAGACAAGTGGAAGCTTCTTTGGTCTTTGGCTTATTCACCTGCCAATATCTAAGACTTTCTCTCCTTTGGGTTTCTTAGTCCAGGGTTTGTCTTCTTTTCATTTCCCCTTTGGAAAAGCAGCTTATTTCAATTTATATGGCAGTATGGTGGAAAATCAAATAAAGGCCAAGATGAAGATGAAGTGAGCAGAATTCTAAGTGGCTGAAACCGTACATGTAATGCCATAGGTAAGAATCGAACAAATACTCCCTTTGAGGACACAGCTAAGATCAAGGGCCGTCCCACGGAAGGCTGGATGGAAGAGAACATCTCACCTGCTGTCTGGTAGCTGCCCCACCAGTGTAGTTCCTATAACCAGCAAACTGATTCCAATGAAAGCCAAGGTAACCCTGGAAAAGAAAAGAAAAATATCGCAAAAGTTTGTACAAAAGGGGCCAGCTCCATGGCACAGAGGTAACTTGCTGATCAAGAGAAGTCAGATCCTACGCAAAGACAACAGTTCAAATCCCACACACTGGACATGCATGAGTGCATGAAAGCCAATGAGCTGAAGGACTAGAGGAAAGGGGGTCAGGGCATAGCCACATCCTGTAAGAGGTCCTCCTTTCTCCCACTCTCCTCTATCACACCTCACCTGCACGTGCATGCACTCTAACAAGAACTTTTAAAAAGTGTGTGGAATAGCAGGGAAATAACCTAAAAGTTCATAAATAATGAAATCACTAATACACAATGAGCATTTATATTATGGAATATGATCCAGCCATTGAAATAACTGGGTAAATCTCTAGATTCAGACATGGAGAGCAAATATTCCATAATATATTTTGAAAGGAAAAAAAAAGCAAAATAAGTTACAGAATATATGATACCATTTTCAAAATAGTAATATATGTGTAACTAGTCTACACATTCATAGAGGTCTAGAGGGCCAACCCATAACCTGGTAGTTAAGGTGGCTGGATGCCACAGGGCCAACCAAGCTGCTGGAGTCCCACACCTGATGACAAAAAACTTGCCAGGGGCATAAGCGTGTGTGCCCAAAATTCCCAGAGGAAGGAGAAATGGAGAAGGGATTGCAGCATGACGATGCCCTGTGGGGGGGTGATCTCTCTCTCTCTCTCTCTCACAGTGCCCTTCCACAAATTAAAAAAGAAAAAAATCTGCATGAATTTCTTTTTTTTTTTCAGCAAAATAAATTCAGACTTTAATTCCGTTTTCCACAATTTTTTGAAAAATTCTGTAACCCAACTGAAAGCCACCACTGCAATACTTGAAGCTTCCTTTGGGTTTGGGGAAGCAATGTGATTGCCTGATGCCATGGGTCAGGGACAGTCATTCCTCCAGGCTCAAGTTGGATTTCTCCTGACATGCACTTGGCTTTATTCACCTTCTTACCAGGTATATCTTGGATTTTCTATTAGATGATGGTGAATCAGCGGCTGACACTGTATGCCAGACAATATTCTAAGTACTTTTATAGTTGCTGCATTTAGTCATCAAAAAAATCTATGAGGGAATACTATTATCATCACCTCCATTCTACAGATGAAGGAAGTGAGGAACAGAAAGTTTACCTGAGGTTAATTTTCCTAAGGTTTATGCAGCCAATAAGCAAGTGAACCAGGATTAGAACACAGGCCATCTGGCTCCAGAATCTGCACTCCTAACCATTCCATTATTCTACGTTTCAGTAGATGATCATTATCTAATATATCAGTTTACTTTTTTTTTTTTTTTTTGAGAGGATTTTGCTACAGGGCACGTGCACTCGCCAGAATGACAGAGACAGAGACAGAAAGTGAGAAATCACCTTCCAGGGGGGGTGGCCACGCCACAATCCCTTCTCCTCCTCCATTCTCCTCTCGAGATCTTGGGCATGCATGCACACGCACTCAGAGTGAGTTTAAGCCACCGGGTCCAGGACTCAAACCACAGTCGACTACATGGGAGTCCAGCATAAAACCACGGTCGACAAAGTGGGGGCCCAGCAATGTAGCCATTATGCCATCTGCTAGTCCCGGTTTACTATTGTTTAGTATAGAAAAATAGTTTAAGGTAGTAGTCTCAACCTCAATAGGGAAATGCCCCATCTATATTGGGTTGTCAGGAAGTCATGATGCATTTTTACATAGAAAATATTCTATTTCATAGGAAAATATTTAACATTTATGAATGACATACATATACTGCCATATGAGTATCATGTGTATTATAAAATATCTGCAAATATGAATGTAAAAAAGATGAAAAATGTTTTACTTTTATTTTTTAAATACAGTATTTAAAAAGTATGTGCATTGGGACCAGCAGATGGTGTAATGGTTACATCGCTGGATTCCCATGTAGTTGACTGCAGTTTGAGTCACAGACCCAGTGCCTTAAACTCACACCAGGTGCATGTGTGTGCATGCCTGAAATCCCAAGAGGAGAATGGAGAAAGAGGGATTGTGGTGTGGCCATCCTGGGGGGGTAATTTCTCACTTTTCGTCTCTCTCTCTCTGGTGAGCACATATACTCTATAGCAAAACTATCTCTAAAAAAATTATACGCATTAAGGTTGCAAAAGCTTTTTGAATATGCTTCCCTGTAAATACTTAGTTACGTCTTGGTTTAATATTTCTTGGCATAACAAGTTGAAGGTCAGATTCTTTAGATGCCCTATTTTCATGTTAGTCACTGATGCAATAACTAAACACCGTTTAATCACATCCATCAATTATGTACACGTTTTTAAATATTGTTTTGACCCCTTTCCCTAGTGAGAATCACTTGTTCCTACACATTAAATCAAAAGGGGTTGCATTTCAATTTGTTTAACAATTGCATAGGAACCACTGGAACTTTTTACTTGCTAAGTTAACAGGGTAGAAAATTCCATTTTCCAGTTTAAGTGAACCAACATGAGAGTTCTCACAGATGACATAAGTTTTCAGCCACAATTTGTTTTTTTCATTGCCAGAAGGTGTGAGCACTTGCTAGAGAGCAACAAAGAGAAAGGGAGAGGGAGAAAGCACCCCTCAACGGGGCATGGTCATGCCACAATCTCTTCTCCATTTCGCCATCCTGTTGGGATTTAGGGCATGCACACATGTGCCCAGTATGCTTTTCAAGCCAGTAAAGTTGGGATTCAAATTGTGGTCAGCTATGTGGGATCTAGCTCCCTTAACCATGGGGCCAGCCCCACAATTTTTTTGCTATATATTTTTTCCTTCTATGAATAAGAAGCCAGAGAGAGATAGAGAGATAGCACCCCCAACCAGATCCTGACACTGTAATCCACCCCCAGCCTGGGTCAGCCAGCCCTGGATCATGGGCACATGGGCCTGACGTATTCACGGAGGTCTCTGGACACAAACCTGAAACCTTCCATGTAGGTCAGCCCTGCAAAGGGTCGTGATCTACCTCTGCTTCGCCTGGACCTCATGATTTGTTTTTTTAAGAGCTTTATTGGGATACCAGTCACATGACATACAATTCACTCATTTAATGGCTATAATTCAATAGTTTGTAGCACGTTCACATAGTACAACTATCACTTTAATCAATTTTAACGCAATCTTTTTTTAAATGCACTTCATAGCAAGTGCTTCTTTTAAAAAGGATTTACAAAGCAATTCTTTCACATGAAAATGTGGTACTAAGCATAAGAATCTTTGTTTTTAGAGAGATTTCTGCTATAGAGCACATAGAGAGTTCGCCAGAGAGAGACAGAGAGACAGAAAACAAGAAATCACATCCCAGGAAGAATGCTCATGCTACAATTCCTTCTCCTCCATTCTCTTCTTGGGATTTTAGGGACACACAGACACACACACACACACACACACACACACACACACAGCACGAGTTTTAAGTCATTGGGTCCTGGACTCAAACCATGGTTGGTCTTATGGGAGGAGTCCAACGCCGAAGCCATTACACCATCTGCTGGTCCGGAGAGTAAGAATCTTAATTCTGATACTTTCAGTTTGCTTTTGGATGTTTACATTGCTAGGTTATCTTAAATACATAGTTTCTTTCCAAAAAATTTATTTTTCAATCTGCCAGAGGGAGCATGTGTTGATCAGAGAGAGAAAGAGAGAGCATGTGAGAAAGCATCCCCCCCCGCAATGGAGGATGGTTCCAACACAACTCCTTTTTCTACGTTTCTCCCCTCGAGATTTTGGGCATGTACGCATGTGCTTGGTGTATTTCTCAAACCTCCAGGTCTGTGCAGTTAGTTGGCCATATGGAATCCAGTCACCTTAACCGCCCTCTAAATTTTTTTTATGTCACTTGCCTATTTTGTGAGGCTAGTTTAGCTGGAACTAGATCATTGATTCGTAACAATTTGCTGGGCCCCCACAGCATGGTCTAAGCGGACATCAGTGAATGATGCATGAAAGCACTTCACGTACTCTGTATTAGAGAATTCCTCCTCCAGGGTGGCTTTGATACAGTGCCTGACCCTCGGTCTAGGTGAGGATGAAGAACTAATCCACACGTTAAACTTGCTAAAGTTTCATTTCTTTTTAAGAATAAAAACAGTGTAAATGAAAGCACTAATCAGAACTTCACACAAATAAAAACCTTATTTCTTCTTATACGCCAAGATGGATAGTCTTGGGCATCTCCAGAGTGGTGAACCCTTCTTTAGGAGCACTGGCTTAAGGTTCAAGGAAAGTATATGTGAAACCTTGAATTTCATTCTGTTACCACAGCTGAGATGATCCCCAAGTGATATAATATGCCCCACCTCTGGACAATGGCAGCAGAAGTGAAAGAAAACAGAAAGAGCTTCTTGCTGATCTGCATTTGCCCAAACCTAAGAAATGCCTTCCCTTGTAATCAATCTGAATGAGGCAAGGATAGAGCACCCTGGGGATGGTAAAGAGGTTTCAACTCATGTGCCAATTATAGTTGGCTGGTAGCAACTGTCTGGAAAGCTCTGCTGAAAGGATGCCAAGGCCATGTCCAGGGAAATGAAGCAAGACCGTCCACAGCAATGTGGTGGCTGGTGTACTCGGCTGCTCCCTGCCAACGCCATATGCTGGACAAGTCTTGGCCTCTGCTACTTCATCCAGATGCCCACTGTCTTCTACTCTTGTGCTCCACTCTGTGCTTCCGGTAAACTGGGTTTGAGGTTGCCTCCTCATCAGGTAGCCCTCTAACTGAGAAGCAGAAGGGGGTCCAGGTGGGGAACTTTCAGTAGAAGTGATTGTAATGGCACTAGATTGAACAAACATACACTTCTGAGTGGCCCACTTCTGGGTGGTAACGACTCGGGAATTTTTTCTCTCCTATGCCTCTATGACCAGGAAAAAAATGCAGTAAATTCTGCTCAGCAGTGGGTTCTGGTCAACCTCTATAGTCTAGTTGACACCCTGGTTAATGAAAAACTGAAAATCATCTCTTTTCTTTTTTCTAACTTCCCTTTTCTATCCATCCTTCAATTATCTCAGATTGTAATGGCAAAGTGGATCCAGATTATGAAATATATTTGCATACTGTGTCCTGAACACACACCTTCACTTGGGGGGAAAATGTGAAAGGAGAACAGATAATACATTCCTGAGGAGGCCTCACTGGTGGTTTCCTAAGTGTGAAGGGGTGGAATTAATACCACAACACTCTTATGTGGCCATTGCACACATGATTTAAAAAGAGAGCTGTGGGGCCAGTAGATAGTGTTGAGGTTAAGGTAGCTAGATCTACATGGCCGACTACATGGTTCAAGTCTCAGACCCAGTGGCTTGAAAATCATGCCAGATGAGTGAGCATGCATGCCCAAGATCCTGAGAGGAGAATGGCATAGAAGGGATTTCAGTGTAGCCAACCCCCTCGAGGAGGTAATTTCTCATTTTCCCTCCCTCTCTTTCTCTCCAGCGAGTGCACATGCTCTATAGCAAATAAGAAAGCAAGGAAGCAAGAAAGCAAGAAAGAAAAAGAGCCAAACCTAGTATGTCATTAAGTCATTGTCAGGTGACTCACCTCAGAGGCAGTAGGACACAATAGCGTACTACAACACCCAGCACCCACACCATGGTGAGCCGCGGACTGATGTAATGGAAATTTGTATTGGTTCTTGTGAGGAGGTTCCATGACACTAGCTCCTCTGAGGAGAACCTCTGGGTCACTTCATCTTCCACAATGGCTTCCAATCCCTTCTTGGAGAAATAAAATACATCAGACAGCTCAAAGTCCCTTCCTCGAAGACCAGACAGCCCTTTCTCCATGGGCGACTCATCTCTTTGGATAATACCTTAAAAGAAAGCATTAGGACATGAGAAGATGCTGCAGGACACAAGGACAACTGAACAAAACACCAACTGTGACTGAATAGCACACAGAAAACAAGTAACTAAGTTTAGTGAGTGGCATGAAACTGACCTCAGAAATAAAAGACAAGCAAATGCAGCAGAAAGAGGTACAAATAACTTTGCAGCAAATACCCTGTACCCAGTGATCTCAATGGATTTGGAAGGAATTATGGTCCTTCGATCCTATTGCTTAGATTTCCCTCCAGGATGCTATTAGTGAAAGAATTTATTTATATATTAGAAACAAACTCTCCCCCAATATAGATCTAAATGGTGTGAAATAGACTTCCAATCTCCCCCTAAAAGTAAAACAGCAAGCAAAATGGCAAAAGACCTCTACCACAAGTATTGGGTCATCTGAAAAGTCATGATGGATTTATTCTGTTTTTCTATGCAAAAATGCATCCTAGCTTTTCTTACAACCTAATAGTAATGGAAAATGTTGTCTAATATATAGAAATTATTTAATAAGAAAAGCACAGGCTCCTATAGAAAAGCACAAAGTTTATAAGCAATCGGAATGAATAAAAGTAACATAAACCGTAAGTATCAAAACCTTTTCACTAGTAACCAAAGAAATCTAAATTAGACAAAGATTGAGTTATTCACGGTATCAAATAAACCACATTTTTGTTTCATGATGAATGTCAATGACTGAAATAATACAGATACCCTCTATTTGACTTGTACAAGTATGAGGCTACTAGTACTTTGGTCAAAATCAGTTTGGCATGAAAAGACTAACAGTACTTTTGCTGATGGTCAGTAATTTCAATTCTGGAAATCTGTTGTAAGAGAGTAAATGAAAATGTAGGCAAGGGTATTCACTGTGGCATTCTTCATTATGACTGATCCAGATGCGATACAATGCACTCATCAATAAGTACTTCAATGTTAAGTAGAAGACAGGATCTAAAACCACAACTTAATCTAACTATGAATTATATAATCATATAGGGAAAAGGTCAAGAAGAAAACATTAAGTTATTTCTGTGCAAAAGGATTAGATTTTCCTCTCTCTATATATAATATATAATTACAATATATGTTTATTATTACATTTTTTGAGAGTTTTTTTTTGCTATAGGGTGTGTGCACTCACCAGAAAGAGAGATAGAGAGACAGAAAGCGAGAAATCACCCCCGCAAGGGAGATGGCCATGCCGTAATCCCTTCTCCTCCTTTCTCCTCTTGGGATTTTGGGCATGCATGCACACACGCCTGGCGTGATTTTAAGGCACCGGGTCCAGGACTCGATCCATAGTCGACTACATGGGGGTCCAGTGACGTAGCCATTATGCTAACTGCTGGTCCCTTATTATTACATTTTCTATTTTAAAAATTATTGGGGGAGGGAACCAGCAGTTAGCATAATGGCTATGTTGCTGGACTCCCACATAGTTGACCACGGTTCGCATCCCGGACCCGGGGGCTTAGAACTCATGCCGGGCGCATGTGCGTGCATGCCCAAGATCACGAGAGGAGAGTGGAGGAGAAGGGATTGCGGCATGACCATCCCCCCGGGGGGTGATTTCTCGCTTTCTGTCTCTCTGTCTCTGTCTGGCGAGCGCATGCACACTATAGCGAAAACCTCTCCAAAAAAAAAAAAAATTATTGGGGGAGCAGCAGATGGCATACTGGTTAAGGTATGGTACTGGTCAACTGCAGTTTGAGTCTCAGACCCAGTGGCTTGAAATCACATTGGGCACATGCATGTACATGCCCAAAATCCTGAGAGGAGAATGGAGAAAGACTGCATCGTGGCCATCCTCCCCACCAAGGGTCGATTTCTCACTTTCTGTCTCCTTGTTTGTCTGGGAATGCATGCACCCTATAGCAAAGATCTCTCAAATAATTGGGTTCAGGAGGTGGCAGAGCAGTGACACAGTTGGACCCACATGAGAAAGGTGCTGGGTTCCCATATCAGGACTACCCTGAGCAAGTTAGGCATGAACTGAAATGAGGGCAAATCATGGTATGAGGATCTTGTTAGTGTAGCTCCCCCCTACTCTTCTCAGAGGAAATAAATAAATAAAATAAAAGTTAATTTAAAAAAATAATAATCAGAGAGGCCAGTCAGGTGGCATGGTGGTTAAAGTACTGGATCCTACATGTCTGACTGTGCAGTTTGAGTCCCAGACTCAGGGACTTGAAAAAACACACCAGGGAACCAGCAGTTGGCGTAATGGCTATGTTACTGGACTCCCATGTAGTCGACCGCGGTTCGAGTCCCAGACCCAGTGGTTTAAACTCACACCAGGCGCGTGTGCGTGCGTGCCCAAGATCCCAAGAGGAGAATGGAAGAGAAGGGACTGTGGCATGGCCATCCCTCCTGGAGGGTGATTTATCGCTTTCTGTCTCTCCATCTCTCTCTCTTTCTGGAGAGCACATGGGCCCTATAGCAAAAACCTCTCAAGAAAAAGAAAGAAAAAACACACCAGGTGCATGTACATGGGTACCCAAGATCCCAAAAAGAGAATGGAGAAGAAGGGATTGCAACATGGCCATCCCATGGCCATGGGAGGTGATTTCTCTCTCTCTCTCTCTCCCCCCCCCCTCTCTCTGTCACTGGCAAGTCCACATGCCCGATAGCAAAAACTAAAAAAAAAGAATTGGAGAACTTCTAAAGCAGAATACATTTTTATAAATGAAAAAATGTGGGACCAGCAGTTAGCGTAATGGCTATGTCGCTGGACCCCCATGTAGTCGACCGTGGTTCGAGTCTTGGACTCGGTGGCTTAAACTCACACTGGGCGCATGTGCGTGCGTGCCCAAGATCCAGAGAAGAGAATGGAGGAAAGGGATTGTGGTGTGGCCATCCCCCCTGGGGGGTGATTTCTTGCTTTCTGTCTCTCTTTCTCTTTCTGTCTTCCTGGCGAGTGCACGCACCCTATAGCAAAAACCTCTCAAAAAAAAAAAAAGAAAAATGATTACGATCACTCAGTTCTAACTACTACATATGAATAGCAAATGAGAAGGTCTTCACAGAGTAAAATGTAGCCATATATAAATAGGACTCCATTTGCCCCTCTCGGGTGTGTCACAAAAGAATTTGCTGCCTATATTAGGCTACCAAAACACACACACACACACACACACACACACACATAACAAAACAAAACAAACAACAACAACAACAAACAGTTTTTCTTTGAAGTAAAGATTAAGATGTTAAATTCCCTGAAAGAAGATCCTCTTTGATTTTCTCACTTGGCAGTTTACGGCGAAATCGATGAGGAATGTGGACAGTGCTGCATTATCTCTCCTCTCCCCTGAGAACTGACGCGGGTATCAATAGAGCAAGCTGCCATTGATCAGCTTTTAGAAAGAAGGGCAGCAGCACAAGACACAGGAGGAGAAAGGAAAGAGGAAGTGGTGTTGAAAGTGGAGTTCTGCTTGGGACAACCCTCCTCCCCCACCCCAAACCATGACTCGGGTCCTGTATGAGATGAGAGTGGAAAATCCGTCAGGTTACAGTTTTCTTACAAAAGACAACATTTTATGATTTTACGTTTAGGAGGGTTTTTTGTTTTTCTTTTTTCTTTCTTTCTTTTTCTCTCTCTCTCTGTGTGTGTGTGTGTGTGTGTGTGTGTGTGTGTGTGTGTGTGTCTCACAGGCAAAGTTACCACCTAATCACCTTAAGAATTAAGAATTAAGCAATGAAGTATGTTCTTAAACGATCATTAGGTTATCTTTTCTAGCAGTCAAGTCTAAGTGGCTTAACCTTTCTCTCTCTCTATATTTGTGTGTGTGTGTGTGTGTGTGTGTGTGTGTGTGTGTGTGTCTCACAGGCAAAGTTACCACCTAATCACCTTAAGAATTAAGAATTAAGCAATGAAGTATGTTCTTAAACGATCATTAGGTTATCTTTTCTAGCAGTCAAGTCTAAGTGGCTTAACCTTTCTTCATCATCTCGGAAAAGGGTTTAATTAGTATTAGAGGATGAACCAAGAAGTGTCCCTGCTGAATTGCCCTTGTGCTCCAGAGACACCGCAATACCACTCCAAGCAGGTTACTCAATCCAAGAGCTGGCCGATATTTAGCAGTGCAAGAGTTTCATTATTTAGCAAGGTATGGATCTTTTTTTAAGTCTGGAGGGGGAGGGAAGAACAAGTTATTCAGTAAATCTCTGAATGAATTACACCGGAGACCGTGGACAGCCCTTCTAAAAATAATCTTTTTCAGAGAAGCTGGAGATAATGCAAGCTCAAGTTGCCTCATCATATTTAGCTGAGCCAAGAGAGATCTGAAAACAGAAATCTCAGCACACTCGATGTGCAATATTTTCTCTGCCCCCTGACCTAGTTTGTTCTCTGTAATGCTAAGGTATAACTGGATTTCGGATTTCAGATAAGCATTTTGTTTTGTTTTGGGTTTTTGTTTTGTTTTGTTTTGTTTTTTGCCATAGGGTGTGTGCACTTGTCAGAAAGAGACAGAGACAGTAAGAGGGAAAGTAAGAAATCACACTCGGGGGGGGGGAAAGCCATGCCGCAATCCCTTCTCCTCCATTTCCCTGGTGGGATCTTGGGAACGCTCACATCCTCACTCAGTGTGATATTCAAGCCTCCAGGTCTGGGACTCAAACTGTGGTCGGCCATGTGGGAATCCAGTTCCTTAACCACCACGTCACTTGCTGACCCTCAGTTAAGCATCTTTTCAAAATAATCTTAAATGTACGGGAGAGTTGTAATAGATGACTTCACCCAGATTCACCAGATGCCAACATTTGATCACTTGGTTTAAGGTGGAACTGCCAGTTTTCGTCAAGTAAAGTTAGTAGTTTTCTCCTTATGATTAATAAATAGATACTTATTATCTAAAAGTACCTATGAAGGGAGCCACCTCGCTGCTCTCCCATGGATACTTAAGATAGCAAATTTTCGATATTCAAACTTTCACACATAGTCTTACCATCTATTGAGGATCTTTGCCTCAATGAATTA